GCCGAGCTGCGCCTCCCGCCGCGGCGCGAGGTGGCCTGGGCCCCTCCCCCGCACATTTTTTGCGAGCTCCCGCGGCGAAGGCGCCCCGGGCGCGACGCTCCGCCGGCCAGCGGGGGGGGCTCCGGGTGTAAGGCAGCGGCCGGCGCCCCCGTGGGGAGGCGGAGCGGGTGCGGAGGAGCTCACGACGCGGCGAGCGTGTCCGCATCCGTGCCCTCGCGGTCATCTAGGGCTCCCAACTTCGCGCTTCGCGCTGCGCGAAGCGCGAAGTGCGAATAACTTCGCGCTCTCGCGCCGCCTCCCAAGGGAAGAGAGGAGGATGAGAGGGAATCGGAGCCGAACCGCGAAGCGCGAAGCGCGAATAACTTCGCGCCCTCGAGGGCGCCCTTGGTCATGGAGTCTCGGGCGCGGCCCCGCGGAGATGCGTGGCGGCACGGCTGCGCTCCGCGCGCGGCACCCGCAGGAGGTTCCCGGTGTCCGGGGGGTCGCGGCCCGGGGGCCTGGCCCGCGAGGCCGCGGATGCGGATCTGTTTCCCGCTCGCGAGGAGTGGGAGAACAAAAAGCCGACACCAGCACCAAGAAAGTATTTGTTTCACGAAATGTCGAATTGCGTTTTGGACCAGCGCGAGCCCGCCCTGGCCTGAGGAATCGCAGAGTGGGCGAGGAGGACGGGGGAAGGGAGACGTCGCGCAGCACGCAGGAGGGAAAGCAGGAAATAACAAGTGCAAGCGAGAAGCGAAACTAGCGGGCGCTCTCGGGAGAAGGGGGGGAGAGAGCAGGGAGGAGGGAGGGAGGATCGGGGTCTGCAAAAGTCTCCCCTCTTAGCGTGTCGCTCGAGTGTCCAAGTGGTGATGCGCCTGCGAAGGGGGGGCAGGGAGAAAGCAGGAGGGAGGGAGGGAGAGGATCAAGAGCTTTGATGGCTTTTCCTAGTTGCGTGTCGCTGGAGGCTTCTTCTACTGACTCTTCAAAGAAAAAAGCACGGCAGAAGAGCCCCCACAAGGGGGGGGGGGACGCGGAGAGTCCCGGACCGCCCGGTCAGGCGGCCGTTTCGCCCGAGACGTCTCCTCAGTGTACAGTGAAAACGTATAGTAAGGACGCGTGGTGAGGACGCAAGACCCTTGGAGGCCGAGGTTGAAGTATTCTGGGCGGCAGGCGGCCAAACTCCCAGGGAACCGGAGAAACTGGCCTGCGAAAAAATTGCTAGGGACGGGCCGCAGAGGCGGAGGCAGGCAAGGACCCAAGGGTACCCTTGAAAAAGTCGCTTGTCCTTACTATGCGCGTTGACTGTATTCACGAGTCGTGCTCTCATCAGTGCTGGCCACATTGTGGGTCCAGACGTCCACGATGCCCTGCAAAAAACACCCTGCAGTTCACCTGGCCAGGCTCTCACCGCTGTCTGCGCTGCTCTCGCCCCTGCCCCACGTCTTCACTCTTGCTGCCAGTAGTTGAAGGGGCCCTGGGACACACAAATAAATATACACAAATATAAAGAGTCCCCATATGTTTTCCCAACCCTCCTATGGTTGGGTACTCGTTTTGAATAGAGCAGTGTGGTCGCCCCGTCCTCCTTCTCCTCCTCCCCCCTCCTCCCCTCCTCCTCTCCTGTCTCCTGTGTTCCCCTCTCCTCTTCTCTCGTGCCGTCGGGCTGCGATCTGCGCAACTGTCGCCACTTTCGTGGGCTCTTGGGAGGCCCAGCGGAGGTGGGTCCCACGCGGATCACCTCGAGACCTCGCGGTGCACTGGGGGCTGCGATCTGCGCAACTGTCGCCACTTTCGTGGGCTCCTGGGAGGCCCAGCGGAGGTGGGTCCCACGCGGATTACCTCGAGACCTCGCGGTGCACTGGGGGCTGCGATCTGCGCAACTGTCGCCACTTTCGTGGGCTCCTGGGAGGCCCAGCGGAGGTACGTCCCACGCGGATCACCTCGAGACCTCGCGGTGCCCTGGGGGCTGCGATCTGCGCATCTGTCGGCACTTGCGTGGGCTCCTGGGAGGCCCAGCGGAGGTATGTCCCACGCGGATCACCTCGAGACCTCGCGGCGCCCTGGGGGCTGCGATCTGCGCAACTGTCGCCACTTGCGTGGGCTCCTGGGAGGCCCAGCGGAGATACGTCCCACGCGGATCACCTCGAGACCTCGCGGTGCCCTGGGGGCTGCGATCTGCACTGTCGCCACTTTCGTGGGCTCCTGGGAGGCCAGCTTCGCCACGTGGGCTCCTGGGAGGCCCAGCGGAGGTACGTCCCACGCGGATCACCTCGAGACCTCGCGGTGCCCTGGGGGCTGCGATCTGCGCAACTGTCGCCACTTCGTGGGCTCCTGGGAGGCCCAGCGGTCCCACGCGGATCACCTCGAGACCTCGCGGCGCCCTGGGGGCTGCGATCTGCGCAACTGTCGCCATTTTCGTGGGCTCCTGGGAGGCCCAGCGGAGGTACGTCCCACGCGGATCACCTCGAGACCTCGCGGTGCCTGGGGCTGCGATCTGCGCAACTGTCGCCACTTTCGTGGGCTCCTGGGAGGCCCAGCGGAGGTACGTCCCACGCGGATCACCTCGAGACCTCGCGGTGCCCTGGGGGCTGCGATCTGCGCAACTGTCGCCACTTGCGTGGGCTCCTGGGAGGCCCAGCGGAGGTGGGTCCCACGCGGATCACCTCGAGACCTCGCGGTGCACTGGGGGCTGCGATCTGCGCAACTGTCGCCACTTTCGTGGGCTCCTGGGAGGCCCTGCGGAGGTGGGTCCCACGCGGATTACCTCGAGACCTCGCGGTGCCCTGGGGGCTGCGATCTGTGCAACTGTCGCCACTTTCGTGGGCTCCTGGGAGGCCCAGCGGAGGTACGCCCCACGCTGATCATCTCGAGACCTCGCGGTACCCTGGGGGCTGCGATCTGCGCAACTGTCGCCACTTGCGTGGGCTTCTGGGAGGCCCAGCGGAGGTACGTCCCACGCGGATTACCTCGAGACCTCGCGGCGCCCTGGGGGCTGCGATCTGCGCAACTGTCGCCACCTTCGTGGGCTCCTGGGAGGCCCAGCGGAGGTACGTCCCACGCGGATCACCTCGGGACCTCGCCGCCCCCTGGGGGCTTGCGATCTGCGCAACTGTCGCCACTTGCGTGGGCTCCTGGGAGGCCCAGCGGAGGTACGTCCCACGCGGATCACCTCGAGACCTCGCGGTGCCCTGGGGGCTGCGATCTGCGCATCTGTCGCCACTTTCGTGGGCTCCTGGGAGGCCCAGCGGAGGTAAGTCCCACGCGGATCACCGTGGGACCTCGCCGCCCCCTGGGGGGCTTGCGATCTGCGCAACTGTCGCCACTTGCGTGGGCTCCTGGGAGGCCCAGCGGAGGTGGGTCCAACGCGGATCACTTCGGGATCTCGCCGCCCCCTGGGGGGCTTGTGATCTGCGCAACTGTCGCCACTTGCGTGGGCTCCTGGGAGGCCCAGCGGAGATACGTCCCACGCGGATTACCTCGAGACCTCGCGGCGCCCTGGGGGCTGCGATCTGCGCATCTGTCGCCACTTTCGTGGGCTCCTGGGATGCCCAGCGGAAGTACGTCCCACGCGGATCACCTCAGGACCTCGTTGCCCCCTGGGGGCTTGCGATCTGCGCAACTGTCGCCACTTTCGTGGGCTCCTGGGAGGCCCAGCGGAGGTACGTCCCACGTGGATCATTCGGAGGTGTGTCATACGCGTTTCTTTCAACGCCCGTGTTTCCATGTTGTATAGTTGCCGTTCCTCTTCTTGCTGCGCTCTTCTGGAATCACTGTTGTGTGCTCTTCTTGCGCACTGCGGGTCCTTCAGAATGCCAGTCAGCATTGAGTGGTTTTGAATAGAATCGCCACATGTATAGAAAGGGTTGGGTAAGTCACAGGGTAAATTATATGTTCTGGGTTTTTGTTTTCCCCTCCACTTCCCATATTCTCCCATATTTTCTGGGGAGTCGACGATTAATTGTGTCTGTGTGTTTTTTTCTCCTCCTGAGTAGTGTGCGTTGCTGGGGTGGTCGGCCCATGTGGGAGCTCTGGCGGTCGCAGCGCCCGTGCGGAAACAGCTGCAGCGGCATCAAGCCAACAGGTCCAGCATCTAGGGCTCCCAACTTCGCGCTCCGCGCAGCGAGAAGCGCGAAGTGCGAATAACTTTGCGCTCTCGCGCCGCCTCCCAGGGGAGAAGAGGATGAGGAGGAATCGGAGCCGAACTGCGAAGCGCGAATAACTTCGTGCCCTCGAGGGCGCCCTTGGATTCACGGGACGGCCCAGAAGCCAGAGGCCCTCCTGAACCAAGAGTGGTCCATACTTCCGCGTCTTGACTGTCTACATGCCAGCAGAAGGGTGCTGACACAACTATGGCGAGCCCCGTGAGATTGCCAGAATGGCTGGCGAACCCTCCTATGTTCCAGGGTCAGGATCTTCTGTTCCGCTTGAAGACCGCGCCCTCACATGAGATGCATAACTTCTTGTAGCTGGGTCTGCGTATGTGCCATGAGTTGTTCGATGTGCCATGCTCCGCCAGTTTCCTCTAGCCCCTCTAAGCGAACAACTCAAGTATACCTTGGACAATGCACACTCAAGCAAAGCACCCAAACCCCGTTTGCCTCCCAACTGTGGAGCCCGGACCAACACATGGAATAACGAGTGGAATGCGATGGGACAGGGAGGACACGGGCAAGCACGAGATGGTCCTGAACAAGGCGTCGTTGTGCACAGGCATGCCCAGCAATGCTCAATAAGGAGGCGTTTCCCTCTTCATTGCACTTAACAGCAGTGGCTTCCAATTTATTGCAAGGGCAGTGATCCACAAAAAATGGCGCAAACGCCGCAAGTAGTTCAAGGTATAACCTTGCGGAAAAAAAGGCTCCATCGAGCAGCACCTATAAGAACTCCTTCTCGCGTCCTCCTCCTCCTCCTCGCGTCCTCCTCCTCCTCCTCCTCCTCCTCCTCTTTCACCTCCCTGTTTCTCTTCCTCCTCCCTCATCATCATCATCATCCTCCTCCTCCTTCGCATTTCGTGCAACTCCTCCTCCCTCTCCCCACTCTCGCTATATTCCTCCCCATTGTCCTCCTCTGCTCCGCATCCGCTCTCCTCCTTCTCCTTCCCATCCTCCACCCCATAGACATGATACTCCTAGTGCTGCTTCCTGCTGAGTATCGGTTCCCTCGTCTACCTCATCCACTCCATCCTTCCCACGTCCCCCCATCCTCCGCTCCCCGTCCCTCCCCACAGTTGCACCCCATGAGTGCCATTCTGCCCTCTGCCCTGACTCTGTGCGTCAGGTGCCCCGCCCTCTCCGCGCACGCTTTGCACACGCAGGGCTGCAACAGTTGTTCGTCGGGCGGTGTTGCTGCAATGCGATTGGCCTCGGTGCTTCCGCATGGTGCTCCAGCTGCCGCGTGGGCATCGTGTTCGGAGCGGCGCAGTGCTCCCGCCGTTCAGAAAGGCGCTCTCGCCCCGGCGCCTTGCCACCTCTCCAACTCCGAGCCCCATTTCCATGCTTGCCGCCCCCCTCGTCTCCTCCGCCTTCCCCCTGATCTTCCTGCCCATCCCGCTCCTTCCGCTCCGATCCCCGCCGAGGCTGCTCGTCCTGGTCCTCCTCCCTCCGAGCTCTCCTCCGTTTCTTTCCGCTCGTCCGCCCGCTCACCCACCTCCTCCTCCTCCTCCTCCTCCTCCTTCCTCCCTCCTTCCTCCTCCCTCCTCCCTCCTCCCTCCTCCCTCCTCCCTCCTCCCTCCTCCCTCTTCCCTCCTCCCTCCTCCCTCCTCCTCCTCTTCCTCCTTCCTCTTCCTTTTCCGATTGCGCATAAGACGGTGGGGTCATTTTGCGGAGCTCCAGGTCGGCTGTGCCACGCGTCCGCAGACAGGGGCAGCATCAGCGCAATGGGCAGGGATGGGAGGGCGAGATGGGATGTCAGACACGGGGCGGGCGCACCCGGCTTGTCCTCCTCCACCCCCCCTCCCCTCCCACCTCCTTCTGCCGCGTTTCTCCTCACTCCTCCCTGGTGCTCAATACCGCTCTGCCAGCTGCCCGAGCGGTGCTTGTACAAGCGGGGGGGGGGCTCCATCCTGCCCATCCGGTACGAAAGTCCACTGCCGACGTGCTCGGGCTCCGCGTGCCGCGCTGCAGCATTCGAGGCCGCAAAACGGGCGCGCAGCCCGCACCGCGCGTGCGCGCGATGCGGGAGAGCTCGGCGCGCCTCTTCGGGCAGGCTCCGCAGGCCCCCTCCTCCGAGCTGCCCCGCGGCGCGCAGCACAGGAAGAGAGGGGCGAGCCCTGCGCCACACGCGGCGACACTTTGGCATGTCGCCAGCATGCGGTCATCGTGCTACCATCACCGGCGGCGAGCCCAGGGGGGAAGTGAGAAGGGGCCTTCTCAGAAGGCCCAGGGGGCCTCCGGCTTTCTGAAAAGATCTCGAAGCCTTCCGCGAGGACAGAGTAGACTTCTCAGAAGGCCGCAGCCCTCCTGAGGAGCCCCGCCGCCTTCTGGAGAGGCCTTCTCCCTCTCACTTCCCCCTCTGGCGCGCCGCCGACAGCAGGAGCGCCAGAGGAAGAGCGAGGGGGCGTTCCTGGCCGAGGCTGGCCTTGGCCACGACCAGGTTCTCCGCCCCGGAGCCCTGGAGCGGCCCGGGAGCCCGAGGCCCCGACGGAGCCCGCAGAGCGGTCCTCGCTGCGGCGCCGCGGCTGCAGATCTGCGAGAGGACTGCGCCCCCGCTGCCAGGGCGAGTCGCGGCCACGTCCGCCCAGAGCAAGGGGGGCCGACCACAGGAATCCTCCCACGGGAAGCCCCGCCGTGAGATCCCGGGACGTCCGATTGATCTGTGGCGTGGGCACGTCCCGGCCTCCACGGCAAGACCCTCGAGATCCAAGACTAGGGGGACAAAACGTGACATAAACATAAAAACTCGGAGGTCTGCGCGGATTTCTCGGATCGGCGCTGGACCCCCCTCCCTGGCGCGCGGAGCGCGCCAGGGGCGGCGCCGGAGGCGCCGCCAGGGGGGTCGAGCGCCGATCCGAGAAATCCGCGCAGACCTCCGATTTTGTATGTTTATGTCACGTCTTGTTCCCCTAAAGAAACCCGGGGCACCCTGGAGGCAAGCAAGGGGTTTCTTGGCATGGGCCTCCACTGCACCGCCGCGTTGTTGACGCGGGGCCGCGCGCGCGGGCGACACGCAGCCCGAGCTCCAGGCGCGCAGACTTCGCCTGCAGCGTGGCGCGCCCCCGCCTCGGCGCGGCGCACGGTCTCTTCGCCACCACTCCTGCCGGAAGCACGGCCGCGCGCGAGAGAGGGCTGAAGTGTGCTCCCGCCGAAGCGCGCCGAGCTCCGCTCTCCCGCACGCGCGTGCCCACACATGGGCGATTCCAAAAAACCCTAAACCCCAAAACGCTTTCATCTCTCTCGAGGTCACATCTTTGTACTGCTGCCGCCGCCTTCCGCCGAGCTTCCGCCGGCTGCTGCCGGCGGAGGCGGCCTCGCTTTACTTCCGCCGCCCTTCCGCCAAGGAAGAGATGACACCTCTCTCTACGCTCGAAAGCAAGGCCCCTTCTGGAACGCCCCACATGTCTTCCCTGAGGCCGCTGGGGAAGTTCGGGGCCAAACCCCAGTGGAAGACCCCAGCGATGCGGGGGGGGAGGTAGGTTTTTGTTGGGGGGAGAGAGGTCCTGGCGTGGGGTGTGGGTGGGCGTCGTGGCGCTTCTTCGTGGGGGTGGTGCACATTCCACCCACGCAGGATGACGCACACTTTTCCACCGACGCGGCGATGCGTTGCAGATACCGGTTCGATACACAATCAACTTAAGCTTCCACCCGCCCACACACATACACTCTTTGAATAAGATCGCAGATGTTCTTAACAGCGCTGTGGGCTCGAACGTCATCCTCGTCATCCACCCCCCTCCTCACCCTCCCTCCCTCGTTCCTCTCTCCCGCATCCTCCCTCCTCCCCCTCCACCTACTCCCTCAAGCCACCCCCTTCCGCATCCACAAAGCGTGCTCACTTGCGACACCTTGACAGCGGCACACGACGCAGTGGGGCGCTTCAGGGCACCACGGCACCCTGCGCGGCCCTCTCAAGCGACTGCGCGGCACAAGCAAGAGAAGGAGGCCCTGGAAGATCGAGCATCGAATTGTTTGAGCATTCTTGGACCGATGGAGGCCTCAAGGGACACCTCCAGAGATCCACGGGGGACAGGATGGAAGCTGCGCAGATACCTGCCAGACCGAAGAGAGGGAAAGGAGGAGGAGGAGGAGGAGGAGGAGGGCCAGAGCAAATCAAAGTTTCATCAACGATCTCGAAATACATCCTCCTTCCAGAATCCCCTAAGAGAAGTAATTTCCACTGAGGGGATTGCCCCGTTACGGGACAAGCGTGTGAACATCCTGAGGCGTGCCAAAGCACCATTTTCTGGGCTTCAAGGCCACGAGTTAGCCTGACTGTTACTTCTCTTGGCGATCCTGAATCGTGCCAGAACATCATTCCTGGACACCGCGAATTAACGAACTGCTGCGCCCTAGCAATTCTGAACCGTTCCCCCAACAAATCTGTCAAACTAGCCATGAGGACCAATTAAACTCTTGCGAATGTTTAAAACATGTGCGCGGCGCTACGGCGAGAACAACAATTTGGAAACCAGCCGCCCTCAATCCGTGAAACTCTTGCACATGATAAAAACGAATGTACGCGGCGCTCAGGCGAGAACAACATGTTGAAAACCACCCGCTCTCAATCCGTGACACTCTTGGAAGCGTTTAGAATGAATGCGCGCGGCGCTACGGCGAGAACCACATGTTGAAAACCGCCCGCCCTCAACCCGGGACAATCTTGCAAATGTTTAAAACGAATGAGTGCGGCGCTAAAGCGAGAACCACATTTTGAAAGCGAGCCGCCCTCAATCCGTGAAGATCTTGCACATGGTTCGAACGCGCGTGCGCGGCGCTAAAACGAAAACCCATTTTGAAAACCAGCCGCCCTCAATATGCGAATTCCCTTCATATTTAAAACGAATGTGCGCGGCGCTCAGGCGAGAACAACATGTTGACCACGGCCCCTCTCAATCCGTGAGACGCTTGAATTTGTTTAACAAACGTGCGCGGCACAAAGGCGAGAACCACATGTTGAAAAACACCCGCCCTCAATGCGTAAAACTCTTGCAGTGTTTTAGAACAATGTGCGCGGCGCTGAGGCGATAGCCACATTTTGGAAGCGGCCCGCCCTCTATCTGTGAAACTGCTGTCCAGTTTAAAGCATCAGAATCAGGGTCATGAATGGTGAGGAAGTCTCGGGCGAAACGCCCAGACCGCCCTTCCGACCGGCCTCGGGCTGCGACAGGGAGAATCATCTAAAAGGAACAGGAATGGAGGACGAGGAGGAGGAGGAGGAGGAGGAAGAGGAGGACGAGGAGGAGGAGGACGAGGAGGAGGAGGACGACGAGGAGAAGGAGGGGGAGGATATAGTGAACGGGGGCGCAGGAAGAGGGCGGGGGATGAGCAACAGCAGTGGCGACAGGAGGAGGCTCGGAAGTGGGGCGAGAAGGAAAACAATGAAGAGAACGATCAGGAGAGGACCCATGTGAAGGAGGAGTTCGAGGAAGCCTGGGAGGAGGAGGAGGAGGAGGGATGGGAGGATGAGGAGGAGGAGGAGAAGGACGAGAACACGACAAATGAGATGGATGACGACACCCCAAAAATGAGGATTGCCCAATCGACTCCCGACCCGGTTCCGAGTAGGGCATCAACTTGAGCTTTATTTCAGGATGCCACCTTATCTCCAAGGCTTTTCGCTTCGCAAGACCATGCGCATCGCACATCCGGCGGGGCGGCACGACATCAACCAGACCAGGGCACAGACCCTCGTCGACCTCGACATGACCACCATAGCATCCCGCCTGGACAAGCGCGTTCCACTATTCGCAAAGTAACTACTCGCAAGTGGCATGGATCCGCCGCGGGGGAAAACATGCGTTTTTTTCGGACGCTTGCGAGCAGGCACTTTGCGAGTAGTGGAACGCGCTCTGTGACCTCCCAAACCCTCGACGATCACTTCAGCCCGAGGCCCCAGGAGCGCCCACGGCCCGAGTCAGAGCGCCCCCCCCCGCTTCTGGCTGTTCTCGCCCGAGGAGCTCCCAAGACCTCGCCGACCTCGGAAGACTCGCTCTGGGACCCGCGTCCAGTCCCTCCCCCCGCCCTCGGCCCAGGTCCTCCCCCCCTGGCCCTTGGGCCCAGAATCCATCGGCGCCCCGATGCCCGACGATAGAAGGATTCACGATGACTGTGGCCAATCCCGAAGGATACCAAGCCAACGAGGAAGCTGATGATCAGGACGAAAATGAAGATCCACTTCAGTCCTTGCCAGAGAAATATGAGAAGAAGCAGCCGACGTTGATGATGGCCAGCCTTTTTGCCATCTGGTGAGATGATGGTCCCCCGATGCCCGACGACCTGGAAAGAATCACACTGCCCGGAAGAGGCAAAGGACCGAACGCTCCCGACCCCATGTTCGTGCGAAGATCCCTCGGGACGGCGATCCGTGGGGGAGGGGGGGGCGCACGTAGGGCCCGATACTAGACAAGAAGAATGCCTGTCGTGCGACTGGCATCCGAGGGGCAGCCGTAGGAGGAGGAGGATGAGGAGGAGGCGGAGGAGGAGGAGGAGGCGGAGGAGGAGGAGGAGGAGGAGGAGGAGAAGGAGGAGGCGAGGAGGAATGGAGGAGAACGGAGCAGGAAGAAGAAGGGGCAGAAGGAATGGGAGGATGAGGCCGGGGAGGGTGATGGAATAAGAGGGGCGTGACAACAAGAAGAGGGAGGAGAACGACACCGAGGAGGACGAGAAGGGATGATGAGAAGGATGCACGAGGGAGAAGAGAACGACGAACGCCCCGCCCTTTCCCAGTCAGCCACTGATCGGCTATCCCCGTAGCGCGCCATAGAGCTTGTTTAGGTCGGGCAGATCCCCCTACAAGCGGAAGCATTAACCGTATTCAGAAAATACTCACAAATGATCAAACAAGTTCAAACCATCGTCCCCAGTTACTATTTTTGAATATTCCTCCTGTAGAGGGACATGCCCGACTTCAAGCTTGTTCTGGGCTGGATGGATTTGAGGGGCAGGCGGAGGGGCAAGGTGGAGGCGGAGGGGCAGCACCAGCAACACTGCCAGAGGCTGCGGCTCAAGCTCCTGCTATGTCCAGCGAAGCACGGCATCTACGCCGTGGCTAAAGCTGAACCACGTGCAAGGCACGTGCTCGAACTCCCCGCGGAACACTCGGGAGAAGAGCTGGTTCCTCAGCGTGTAGGTGGAGGCGGGGGCGGGGGGAAAGGGAAGGAGGAGGAGGAGGAGGAGGAGGGAGGACTAAGGAGCAGGACAAGTAGGAGGAGGAAAAGAAGGGACTGCATGATGAGGAAGAAGAGGAGCAGGGGGAAGGAGCACGCCGAGGATGGCGGAAGATGAAGGTGGAGGGGGACAACAGAAAATCAGTGGAGGAGACGTGGGAGGAGGAGGAGACGAGGGACGAGTGCGAGGAGGAGGGAGGGCGAAGGCAACGCATGAGCAGCAGGAGCAGCTGGTTCCCCGGCGCGCCCAGCCGCCACCCTGGCCTCGAAATTATCCAGCCCCTCCCCTCCCCCCCACCTCCTTCCCTGCCGTCCCCTCCCCCGCCAGGCCCTGCCAGATCCAGCTCCCCCCCCCCTGCCCTCCTTGCCCGTCCTCCGCCCTCCCTCCTGTCTGCTCTGCACTGGCCTCCCCATCGGCATCTCCCCTGACCCAACCCTGCCCCACCATACTTGCCCCTTCACTCCCTTCTCATCCGGCCATTGCGCGATCGGCGCCGGGCCAAGGCAGGTGCGAGCCCCCCCCCCTTGTGGAAGAAGAAGAAGATGAAAAGGAGGAGGGAGAGGAGGAGCAAGACCAGTGTAAACCCAAGACGCACCAACGATGTTGCAATCAACCCTCCCTCCAAGGCCCATCTACGCAAGACCCTACCAAAACAAATTCATTGCGAAACGAGCCCCATTGGAAAACAACCGTCCGACAATCCTCAATCGTGCCAAACCGCAACTCCTGAAACATCAACGCAGCGAATCAGCGTGGCTGCTGCGTCCTGGCGAACCTAGATCGTACCAGAACGCAACTCCTGACTTCAACCATACAAGCCTTTGAAATGCCTGCAATAGTAAAATACAAATGCGCGCGGCGCTCGAGCGACAGCCGCATTTTGAAAAAGACCCAGAACATCCTTGAAACTGCTGCAAACTTTTAAAACGAATGTGCGCGGCGCTAAGGCGAGAGCTAGATATTGAAAAGGACCCGCCATCCACCCTTGAAAGTGCTGCAAACTGTTGAAGCGAATGTGTGCGGCGCTAGGGCGAGAGCTACAATTTAAGAAGAACCTGCCCTCCATCAATGAATCCAACCAGCCCTCCGGGCTGAGTGGTATAACGGAGCTCCGTGCCACAACCCCTCCTGCCCCTGCTGGGGGGAGAGGTTTACCCCTCCCCCTGCCCCCTCCCCTGGGTCTGGGAAGGGAGGGGGTCGGAGCCGTCAGAGCGCCCAAGATGGCCCCAGATGGCTCCCAAAGGGCCCAAGGCAGCCCAAGAGGGCCTCCAAGATGGCTCCAGATACTTCAACATCGCCCAAGATAGCCTCCAGCGATCTCGACGACGGCCGAGCGGGCGCCCGCTGGTGCCCGACACAATTATCGGTGTTACTTTGCGGAGCTGGGCTTCCTGGCGCCGTCAGCCGAACGACCCGCATTTGTTCAAGGCAGGCCGCGCAAACGCGCCTCCAAGACGCCCCAAGATGGCCTCAAGAGGGTTCCAATTACCTTTCCCCCCATTCCAAAGCAACTCCTAAGAGGCCAACGTCTATCAACAACCAAAACAACATCAATAGTTTGGGGCTTCTCGCTTTTTCGCTGCCGATGGGCTCCTTGGGCTTCAGGATGGCCCCAAGAGGGCCCTAGAGAGTCCCAAGGCGGGCCCCGGATGACCCCCAGGCGGCTCCAAGAGCGCCCCAAGACGGTCCCAGAAGGCCCCCCAGACCCCCCAAAGGGCCCCAAGAGGGTCCCCAGACCTCCCAACAGAGCCCCAAGAGGGCCCCAAAAGTGCCCAAAGTGCTCGTCCTCCTCCTCCTCCTCCTCCTCCTCCTCCTCCTCCTCCTCTTCCTCCTCCTCCTCCTCTCGCATTCAGGGCACCATGATCTTATGCATTCATTCGATATACACATACACCTGTTATTCTTTATTACATTTATATGTATGGAGAAAACGTATGGGAAAACATTGATAACGAATCACACATCCAGGGTCGCATGCAACCTCCTCCTCCTCCTCCTCGTCCTCATCCCCCTCCCACTTCTGTTCCTCCTCCTCCTCCTCCTCCTCCTCCTCGTCCTACTCTTCCTCCTCATCCTCCTCTTCCTCCTCTCTCGTTCGGGGCAGTGTGACATGATGTTCTGTCTGAACCCGTTCCGAAAAAAACATTGGCAGCATGGTGGTGCAGGAGCCCCTCTCCGATGACAGAACTGTGACAGGTCAACAGTTGTCGAAGAGGGACCAAAAAAATACCCCCCATAGAGCCACAACGACGCCAGGTCGACCTGATCAACTTAATTACCATTTAACGAATCATACAAAAAAAACGCCGAAAGGCATCCAAGGCGGCTGTCGCACTGTATGCTTCCACGCTGCCCTCATAAAGCAACTCACTTGGCGCTCGTGTCTGGATGGGCCGGTGGGGATATTTTTCCTTGATCTGCGGCCCGCAAGGAAGAGTCCAGAGGGCGTGTCAATCAGGCTGACTGGGGCACAGAGCCAGATAATTCGTGCAACATGCAAAACAAATTGGGGACAACGGGCAGACGGGCAGCCGCGCGTGGCGACGTTGCGCCAGCACTAGGACGCCAGGCGCCGAGCAGGGCGACGGAAGGACGGAGGGGGGGGAAAAGCGAGGCGACCTAGGGACGAAAGAGGAAAGGAAAAGCAGGTTGCCTCACTCACGGAGCACCAGGTGCTCGCCGGCGAGCCGTCTCTGGTTCAATCACAAGTGTACACCTCGTGGCGCCTGAGGGGCAGCCGCCATCCTTAACCACAAGGATGCACGTCGCGCAAACCACGTCACAGTGCCCAGTGTCCCGCCAGGGGGGAACTGCAGGTAGGAGTGCACCACCTGACCAGCGCAGAAGGGCAGGATGTCGATGGTGACAGCGAGCGGGAACCTCTCCCAGAGGAGGAAGCAACGGTCGCCAACGCCAGGGGGGATACGTCGGCCAGGAGGAGGCACGGACCTGCCACAGGATGCACCACATGAACTGGAAGTCGTACTCCAGGGCGACGGCGCCGAATAGCGGAACGGCTTAGACGTGGAAAGGCCGGGCCTGCAAAGATGCCTCTGGCCGAAAGCCCGCGCCATCCCGGGCGAGCACAGCACCAGCACGCAGTGCTGAGAGGGAAGCACCTCATCCCCAGGAGGTGACCCAAAGGCATTAAGCCAGAGCCACACTGCACGTCGTCGGCACCCCTCAGCAGTCGTCGAAGGCGACAGGAGGGGAGGAGAGGAGGCGCAGCCGATATCCGCAGAACATTTGAATACATGGAGAGGAGGCGCCGGATGTCAACGCCGCCAGTCGAGGACCCAACACGTGAAGTCGGTGTGTCGTTGGCATGCGGCGCCGTCGCGAGGGGGGGAACTGTCACATGGGCAAGGCCGTCGGACGTCGGGAGTGTGGAGCGCATGGGGGGGGCCTTCGGCCTGCCGCCCCGGCCATCCAAAGTGAGCGCCCCAGCGGACGACACGGGCCCGTGTCCCTGTGAGGCCAAAGTGAGCCGTGGGCAAGGTTATTGCAGCCAGACCGCACGGGCTAAGAGCCCACGGAGTACCGTGGGGGTCTAAGCGCAGTGAGAGTGTGCACCTCACTCCGAGGAGGTAGCACGTGTATTAAGGCCGGGGCCTGTCACTGCGGTGAAACGAGCCCCCTTCGTGAAGGGACTGCCCACGGCCGTTGCGGCCCGGGGGGGGCCATCCGCCCGCGACGTCTTCTCCTCACCCGATGCTTGCCTGTGGGCAGCCACGGGACTTACGAGGACCATGGTGGCCCCTGCCTGTGTGGAGCGGGTCTTGTGAACGTCACGCGTCGTCGGTCAGTCACCACAGTCGTCGAGGGCGTCAGGAGGGAGGGGAGGAAGGCGCAGCCGATAGCCGCAGAACATTTGAATACATGGGGGAGGAGGAGCCAAATGCTGGCATCGTCTGTCGAGGACCCAACACGGGCAGTCGGTATGTCGTCGGCGTGTGGCGCCGCCTGGTGGGGGGAACGCCATCAGTGCGGGGCTGTCGGACGTCGAGGGTGCAGAGCGCATGGGGGGGTGCCTTAGGCCTGCCGCCCAGCCGCCCAAGGTGTGCGCCCTAGCGGGCGAATCTGGTGCGGATACGCGAGTCGTCAAGCATTTGCTCAAACGTTTTCAGAGAGCGGCTGGCGATAAGGCGAGAGCTACATTTTGAAAAAGACCCGCCCTCCATCCATGAAGCTGTTACAAATTTCAAGCTTCAGGATCACACATGCTGAGAAGTCCCAGGCGAAGCGGCTGGCCCGCCCTGCCGAAACGTCCAGGGGCGCGCCAGGGACGAACTACTTTCCAAACAGCGCTTGCACTTCGGACTTGGCGCACTCTCTGAGAACGAGCTGGGCCCCGGTGTCGGGTCCACCGCCTTGTCGTCGCCGCCGTCGCCGCCCCGTCGCCGCCTCGTCGCCAACCTTCGTCGGAGTCCCAGTGTCCGGTCCCCCGCCCTGTTGTCGCCGCCGCCGCCCCGTCGCTGCCTCGTCGCCGCCCGTCGTCTGGGCCCCGGTGTCGGGTCCGCCGCCTTGTTGTCGTCGTCGCCGCCCAGTCGCCGACTCGTCGCCGCCAGCCGTCTGGGCCCCCAAGTCGGGTCCGCCACCTTGTTGTCGTCGTGGCCGCGCCGCCCCGTCGCTGCCTCATCGCCGCCCGTCGTCTGGGCCCCCGTGTCGGCTATGCCACCTTATTATCGCCGTCGCCTCAACACATACATTGCACAAGAACGAAGATCTACCACCACCCCGAGGCCGGGATTATCGATCCCCCCTGGTGATGTGCATTTTACAAATGATTCTGCCCCACAGTTCATTCTGAATGCAATTTCGTACCACAACAGCCAAGCCTGTATTGACCACCTCCGCATCACCCCTGGGAAAAACACAATGCGCGCACACTCGTTTTGTACAACATCATCCGCTTGCAAAAAGCCTCAGCCCAACGACCCTTCAGCTTTG